GCTGATCGGAGCCTGGAAAGAAGCGGCGAAGAAGAGAACGTGCAAGTATTTGAAAGTGAAAGGGCTCGAGAGGAAGAAGTGAATATTAACAGTAGCGACTTAGGGGAGGGGTGGAGCTGGCGTCGCGACGATACGGCATGTGATCTTGGAGATCTGAGATTGCAGCCGACATCTTTGCTCCTGGATGGTCCAAGTGGATCTAAACCATCCTGAAGAGACGGTAAATGTAAAGAGCGCATCCTGTCGATCCCAGGGATATCGCAAAGTCCCTGGTAGATCCAGGAGAAGCTCTTTTTGCCAGCGGCAAAGAGGCAGCCATTATAGCTGCTGAAGTTGGGACAGCTCCGAAACGAAAGAGAATGGAAAGAGAGAGTGTGCCGGTTTGGTGAGAACTTTTTCTTTATTTTAAGACTTGAAAGGACACCCTAAGGGAAAGAAAGAATCTGTAAAAGTTTTTAAAGAAGTGATTAAGCAGCGATTTTAAACAAGAATGTCAGAGTAATTTTTTTTTTCATTGCTGGATTTTCTACACATGATCTTATATTTTGAAACTGGACTGATTTTTTTTCTTTTTATATATTCTTCTCTCCTTTTTGATTTTATAATATTTTAAGTCAGAGACTCCCTTTTAGTTAGTTTTTAAATATCTTTTCTTTTTATTTATTAATTCTTATTACATTTTGCTTGGAAAAGGAGGGGGAAAGTGAAAGCTAAAGGAACTTTGTAGCACTGCCAACTAGAGGCTTGGAAATATTCCATTTTTCTTTTGACCAGACAAAGCTGAGAAAGAACTGAGACTTTGTTTCAAGGACATTGCCTGTTTGATAAGATAGAGGGAAGAGCACGGGAGAGTATTATTACAGGTGCTCTTCTGGGTTTCTATCAACAGCTGGAATCTGGTGTTGAAGCTTAGGAAAAGAAAAGGTGATAAGTCTTTGGAGAAGTGAGTTACAACAAGAGCCTTGGATAATTAAACAAAGTGCAGTGTGCTCTTTTTATTATTTTTAAGCTGTGCTACCCCTCCTCATCAGTTTACTTTTTTTTACAATAGCTATTTGGATTTTTAGCTCTTTGGAACTTGTCTTTGTTTTTTTTTTCTTTTCTTTTCTTTGGAAGTTAAATTTTTACGTCTGCTTTTTATTTTAAAGGAAAAGCTTTAATGCTTCCCTTCTTTTTCTTTTTAAGGGAGTAGCCTTTTTCTTCTCTTTCCCTTCCTGGTATTTTTATCTTTCCATCTACCTTCCATATTGTTTTTTTTCTTTTTTCTTTTTGGTTTATTTTTATGCATACTTTTATATTTGAGACCTCTTAATTGGATTAAGGTGTTGAAGAATCTGAATATTTTTTCCTTTCTTTTTTAGTCTTTCTCTTCACTTTTTCACCTTTTTTAGGGTTTTACAGTTTTTTCTTTTTGTGTGTGTGTCCATGGTGTGTTATGGTCTTTTCCTTCATTTTTGAATTTTTACTGTCATCTAATCAACTGATTGGATTAAGGTATACAAGAACCTGAAGAAATTTTTTCTTCTTTTTCTATTATTATTACTATTTGGCTTCTCTTTTCTTACTATTCTTCTACTTTTTTCCTACTATTTTTATTTGGAACTGCAATTGGTTATTTTACAACTGGATTAAGGTTTAGAAGAACCTGAAGATTTTGAACTCCTCAAAATGAGTAGGAAATTAACAGCTCCTGGTTCTTCAACTTCCACTTCTTCCTCTCCACCATCTGGAGGACAATGTTCAATACAGACAATATTAAGGCAAGAAAAAGAACAAGAAAAAGTGACCCTGAAGATGATTATGCAAGGAATTCAAAATATTCAAACAAGATCAGAGAATATTGAATAGAGAATAGAGAACATTGAACAAAGAACAGAGAATATTGAACAAAGAACAGGGAAAACTGATGAAAAAGTAGAGAACATCCAACAAATGATGATGAAGTATGATGAGACTCCAAAAAATTGAAGAAAAAGATAAAGGTACAAGAAGATTGGAGACATTGATAACAGATTAACTGTGGTTGAACAAGATAAAATGGTATGCTGAGATGGGAGATGGACAGATCAGAATTTTATCTTAGATTCCAAAACATAGAGGAAGAAAAAGGACAAAATCTAGCTGAGAGAATGATAGAAATATTGGCTGAAGCTTTGGAAATAACTGAAGAGAAGATGATGGATGGAATAGATGAGGTTTATCGAGTCTTCACAAGATATGCGATGAGAAATAGCTTACCAAGAGAAGTTCACATCAGATAAAGCCATTAAAACGCAAATATTGCAAGTGGCAAGAGAGAAAACATTGAAATACAAAGATAAGGAGATTGTGGTCTTGAAACAAGTACCCAGAAGAGTGAGAAAGATGAGAAGAGAATACCGATTCTTGACCAAATTGTTACTTAAAAAAGAGGTGAATTATAGATGGCTGATTCCAGAAGGTTTAATGTTTACATGGCAAGAACAGAGATATAGAATTGATTCAATTGAGAAAGCTGAATCATTTTACACAGAATTTCTCAGAGGGGAGGAAGAGGCAGAAAAAGAAATTTCACTAATTGAATTTCAAGAGGACTCCCAAATGACGACTGAAAAAGAAGAAGGTGCAGTAGGTGGAAAGGAGGAAGCCAAAGAACAACGTGAACCAAGATCCACGAGAGCTGTCAAACCTAATTACAAAATATAACCATGGAAGAGAAAAAATTGATTACAATTAATATAAATGGACTTAACTCAGCCGTTAAAAGAAGGAAAATCTTTCATAAATTAGAGAAATTAAAATTTGATATAATCTGCCTACAAGAATACCTATATATGGTTGAAGGAATGGGTGAACTTAACAAACAAGAGAATATTAGTTTTAGAAGGCCACGACAGAGGGGGTGGCATGCTTTTCTATGGGATATCTGGAAAACTACCCAGAAATACTTTTACAGACACTTAATTAGAGATGCACTAACTGGAAGAAAATAAGGAGAAAACATTATTTAAAAATACCAATCTGGATTTCAACAATGGAAGAGATGATCCACCCAAATAATTTGGATATTATTAAGATGATTAAATACAAGGATTTATTGGATGTGCAAAGAAATTTGAAATTGTGGCAAGATCTTCAGGACCAGGGAGTACAAATTGATAGATGGGCATATCTTCAAGTACAGAGTAGATACAAAGAAAGAATTTGGAATCAATAATAATCTTCAGCAACTAGACAAAATTCTATTAGGCCCAGACAAAAAAAATATAACAAAATTTTATAATTACCTACTAGAGGCAGAATTAGAGGAAGAAATTGTCAAAGGGAATATGTTAGCCTGGTGTAGGAATATAGGACGTAGTATCACCTTAATAGAATGGGAGAAGGTCTGGAATAGAAATAATAATATCACAAAATTGGCAGCCTACAAGGGAAATGCCTATAAGATGTTTTACAGATGGCACCTTCCCCCCTCGAGATTAGTGAAAATGCACCCCAACATGAGTCCAAATTGCTGGAAATGTAAAAAAAAAAAAAGGGAGGGAACTTTCTTCCATATGTGGTGGTTGTGTATGGAGGCACAAAAGTATTGGCAGAAATTTAGAAAATGGTTGGAGGAAATGACAATAGAACAGATTGAATTTAAACCAGAACTCTTTCTATTAGGGATCTTTAATAAACAAATCTCAAAAAAAGTGTAGTATACAATAGTACATATTTTGACAGTGGCCAGACTGGCCTTTGCACAATGTTGGAAGCAACCTCATATTCCATCAGAGGAATTGATTATTCAAAAAATAGCAAATTGTGCAGAGATGGACAAATTAACTTTGGCATTAAAAGGAAAAGATACATCAATGTACTATGACAGGTGGAACTGCTGGTACGAATGGATAGAACAAAAATCGATTAAGCAATAAAGGGCAAAAGAAGATATGTTATAATTGTAGTAGTGAATTCTCATATATTCACACAAGGATCAGTTGCATAGAGGGTTTAAGATAAGGTTGAAAATAAGGTCCCACAAACTGTCGAGGACGAAAGTGTTTTTAACTCTTTTCTGATCTTTTTTTCTACTTTTCTTTTTTTGTTCTTTTTTCTTTTTCACATTTATGTATGTGTTGTTTGTGTTTTATTAATAAAATTAATAAAGTTTATTTTTTTTAAAAAAAAAACAGAAATTAGATGCTTCTGAAACTAGACTTTCTTCTATCTGTCAAGTATACTCATTAATTATTTTTTCCTGAACATTTAATTTCTCACACAATTAAAGCTTTTGAATACATTGTAGTGTTTCTTTTTTATTTTTAATGGAACTTCTGAGTATATTAAGGTGCACAACTGGCGGCTAAGAAGCTCCATTTTTGCAGTTCCCTGAGGAGTTCTGCACTGGGTAGACCCAAGGTTTTGGCTTTGGGGATGATATTAACCAGTAAATGGGAGCCAGAAACTGGTCAACTTTCATCCCTTAAAATTAAGAAAAAAATCTGACTTTTTTTTCCTATCTGGAGAAACAGAATGTTTCTAGCACTAAATATTTTAATTTGAAACATTTTGCATGGCACTTTTATTTTGTAGTGCATTCAAATAAGAATTCAGCCTTTCTGCTGACATTTGAAGCTGTCTCTTCAGATCCAACTGAGCTATTTTTTTCTAGTTTTTAACAATAGCAAAAAGATGTGTGTTTCCTAGTTTCAGAACCTTAACCCTATGTAGTTTAAATTGCTATTTGTTAGGTCCAGAATTGTGCTTATTACCATTTTTTTAACTAGGAATGTAAAATGTATCAAAATTGAACACCATATATTTTTCAGCCAAATAGGAAGCTTAACCTTAACCTTAAATAACTAGGATTTGAAGTCCAAGTCCAGCATATAAGTAATCTTTGATATAGATCTATTCATCATTCTGAAGACAATACAGTGTGGTTTACAGTGTAGGCTAGGGTAATTTATTCAGAAGGATGTAAGAAAGTCAGTTTGAAGGAAAAATGATAATTATTATTTTGGACTGTATTGCAGGTTGACTCACCAATGAATCTGAAACATCCTCATGATTTAGTAATATTAATGAGACAAGAAACAACTGTTAACTACCTCAAAGAGCTGGAGGTAAGATTGGTGTACTGATTTTATTTTCAAAATTGACTTTTTGTCAAACAAAAGTAGGAAACAATAATTTTCTTTGTCAATATGAAGTTGTAGTCTTAAAAATATTGAATCTGGAAGTTTCAGCCTCCATTCTATATTTTTAGTAGTGTAAATTTACTATTATGTTACTTTAGTCATCCAAACTGATGCATGTCCTTTCTGAGAATTTAATTGAACTCTTTGGACTGTAGTTGTATAATAAGGTACGGGTTGGTGGGTATTGACTTTTACACTTAAGGTTTTTTCTTGTGCCCATGTACCAAATAAGCAAAAAGTTACTTTTAAAAAAACAATATGCCAATTCAATTGCTGGTTTTTGATGGAATGATTTAGATGCAAAATAACTTGATTTTCAGCAAAATAATCTTTGGAAAATTTTTCTTCAAAAAATAATTAAAATGAACCTACGGTAAGACTTAATACTTCCATTTTAATTCTTACAATCCTAACTGTTCTCAACCTCGAAAAAGAGGCAGATAAGTTTCAAATCACTAATAATAATATCAATGTGCATGAGACCCCTGCAGGCCTTGAAGGTAAGGAACAAGAGAAATTGCCATGTCACTTTCAGAGAAACCTAAATGAGTATGTATTTTTAGTGATATTTGTATTTTGAACAATGCATTTTATTTTATTTTGGGGTTTTGTTTTGTTTTCTGTAGAAACAATTAGTAGCTCAGAAGATCCATATAGAGGAGAATGAAGACAGAGATACAGGATTGGAACAAAGGCATAATAAAGAAGATCCTGATTGTATTAAAGCAAAGGTGCCCTTGGGGGATTTGGATCTCTATGATGGCACCTATATCACTTTAGAGAGCAAAGACATCAGGTACAAGGGAGCTAATTATACAAAAAAATAGAAAAGCCGTAATTTTGGAAGGGAAAGGGGATATCATAACAACCTAGCTGGTAATAATCTGTTATCATGTTAATTACAGCTGCTTTGGGAGATGGAAGAATTAACAGTGAAATGATACAGAAAAATATGTTTTAGTAAAGTCATTTTTGACAATATTCCTACATTGCTTTTCTTAACTGGTAATTTACTTCATTGCACCAAAACTCTTATTTATTTATTTATTCTTATGCTTTAGTCTTGAAGATTATGTAGACACAAAGTCTCCTTTACCTCTAGACCTAGAAGAACCAGAATGTACTAAAATTTTAGATCTACCATACAGCATTCATGCATTTCAGCATTTACGAGTAAGTAATTGGTTATATTAGCATTTGAAATACTGCAGACTGAGAACTTTACAGTGGTGTTATTACCACAATAAAAGAGAATTCAGAAATCACAACTGTTTAATGCCACAGATCTTTAATTCTCTTTAATTTTTTAAACAACTATTCTACCTATTTTTTGTATTGTATTGTATTTGCAATGTCATCTTGTTTTTGTATGCCTGTAAACACTCCTGTGCATAAACATAGTTAACTTTATATCCTTCTGAATTATTGAAGGAGCAATGCATTCATGTAGAATAATAAGCCTAAATTTTAAGGATTTTCTAGTTTGAAACATGCATTCCTTGGAACCAAGATTCCATATGAATGAACTCAGTTACTTAATTTCATTAGGTATTTAGCACATCAAACTAGGGCTATTCTTTTCTATGCCTTGTACTTCCTTTCTACTATTGAGTATTTCAGTTCAATAAGAAAATTTTGGCAAAGTGCATGCAAAAGTTTGTCTCTATGTGAGAATGTGAATATTTTAAGATCTGTAGAGAAAACCACTTTGGCAAAGAAATAATTTGATGTGGGCCACTAGATTTTCTAGTTGCTGTTGTGACTGTCATATTATGTCCACTTAAACTAGTTAAGTTCAGTGGACTGTACTTCTGAGTAGACATGCACTGCACCTATTATTTGAAAGATTTGTAAATGACATTTTAGATCAGTTCACCCATATCAAGGCAACTAATTTTCAAGCGTAATAAAAATAATTACTCCATAAACTCTTATTTTTAAGCAGCAACTTAAAAAGCTCCAAAGATCCAACATGCTAAACCAATGCAGGCTGTAATGTAAATATATTTAAAATGCTTTTAAAGTTACTTGATAAAACCATGTATTGTTTATCAAGACTTAGCACTAATGGGTGCATCTGGGTACTTTTCATGATATTTTTGAGAAGTGTTACAAATGATCCTTTAAAGCAGCTATAGGTAGACCTTGAACTAGGAACATTCATCCAGCAACTAAAGTCATGACAGCTCTAAACAAATGATGGTTACAATTGGCCTTCGGATACCAACCATTGCAACACCTCTACGATCACATGATCGCGATCTGAGCTCTTGGCAACTGGTTCACTCTTAGGACTTGTAGTGCCACATGATATTCCCTGCCAGCTTGTTGCATGTATTCCCCTATAGGGAAGATGGGAAGTTGCTGGGTAAATCTCTTCCACCTGAACACCTTTCCAGCCCCTCTGCACTAATACTATGCTGGCTAGTCATGAACCCCTGCATACTCTTTCTGACTTGCACTGTGCCTCTTGTATACTCCGTGACACACCCTAATCACTATATGTCCTCCCATGCAGTGCCTTTTTCACACCTCCTTGTGCACTCTCCTCTGCACCATTCACAACTCTCTCCTGCACCACCTCATTTGCATCCCAACCCAGCAGTAGTAGCTTATCTGCCTGCCAGCCTGGGACTTGGAACTTCCTGCTGTCTGACTATTTTTGTGGAAAAGCTACAGGAAGTTGCCTGACTTAATGACCATAGGATTCGGTTAACAGTAGTTTGCTATTGCCTTCTTAGGGCTGAGAGAGAGAGAGATTGGTCTAAGGTCAGCTGGCTTTCAGGACTAAGTTAGTACTAGAGCTTAGGTTTCCCTGCAAGTCCAGAACTTTAACTACTAGAATAAATTTGCTGTCCAAATTATAATAGTTATGTATATAGTTATGTATATAGTTATATAGTAGTTTCAAAACTACTATATTTTTTGTTTAAAGTACAGACTGGTAAACTAAATATGGTGAAACAATAACCAATTTCTATTGAATGGCATTGCTTGGTTTATTAGGGTTTCTTATAAAGAATGTTCACCTATATTATTTTGATGCCACACATCCAGATACTTCTTACTTTATTAATCAGAATTGCACACCTTAAAACGAAATCTATTATACTTGAGAAATATTATATATGCACAATTATACCATAAGACAGCATGGTGGCCCAGTGGTTAGATGCTTGAATGAAGCTCAGATGCTGGGCTTGATGGCTGGAAAGCCAACAGCCTGGGTTCAAGACCCAAGTGCCACATGACAGGGTAAGCTCGTATGCTTTCCCCAAGCTCCTACCAACCTAGCAGTTTGAAAATATGCAAATGCAAGTAAATAAAAAGGTACCTCTACATGCTGGCCATATGACCATGGACATGTCTTCAGATAGCGTTGGCTCAATGGCCTTGAAATGAAGATGAGCAACATCCTCTAAAGTTGGCAACAACTAGCGGAGTAAAATCAGCAGGGATTCCTTTATCTTACCTTCCTTTTCAATTATATCATAAAGTCTAATAAGTTTTAAGGGAACATAGAATCGGGGGGGGGGTTTGTTTTTTCAAAAAGTCAGGCCATCTTAAGAATTCAGGTGCTAATTCTTTTCCTCTTTTCATCTAGGGTATTCAAGAAAGAGTTAATCTTTCTGCACCCTTGTTACCTAAAGAAGATCCTGTATTGAATTACCTATCAAGACGATTAGGAAGAAGTATAGAAGAGATAGGACATCACATATATGAAGGTCTCTTGAAGGTATTAATACAGTTATGAACTTTTGCTGTCCTGTCTAAATCAACATAATCTAGATAAAGCTTTTCAAGCCTTGGCAGCCTGAGGCCTGATTCAGCTTTCCATGACCCTAAATGCCCCTTTTGACCATGACTGCTGAAACTTGATAGTACAGTTTCTCATCATTTTGAGATGGGAAATGTATAAAAAGAATGGAATAACTCTCATAAAAAGGCATATCCCAGTTATAAAATAAGTCCTCTCAAAAGCCTAATGTGTATGTGATATAACTCCCTTCAATTTGCAATTGTCAGTCTCCTCACAAGTGCAGCTTCCAAAATTTCCTTACTCTCTTTAAAAGCCCGACATATATACAATAGTATGATATCTAAGTGGTATTTGAGAGAAAAATAACTCCAACAAAGTTATAGTCATATATACAAAGATTATAAACATGGAGTTATGTTTAAAATCTGCCTGGGCACATATTTAGCAAAAAAAAAACATTGTTTCTTTCCATGTTTATTATTCCTTTTACAGAATTCATCTTCTTGGGTGTTATACAATATGGCTTCCTTCTATTGGAGAATAAAGAATGACCCATATCAAGTAGTAGAATGTGCAATGCGAGCTCTCCATTTTTCTACAAGGTAAGACATATGGGGAAGCAATAGATCAGTGGTCGCCAACCAGTGGGCCACGGCCCACTGGTGGGCCGTGAGAAAATTTTGGTGGGCCACAGAGAAATCTCACCCCCAGAGCACCCCTCAAAGCAATTAATCCAGGCTGCACAGAAACACAAGGTTGCTCAGCCCACATGGCCTACGGGAACCCTCCCCGCCCACTCACTCCTTACCCAGCAAACTTGTCTGCTAAGTTGCTATTTTTCCTTTTTCCGACCATCATCTGTTCTGCTGTGCCGGGAGATTTAGATTAGCTAGGAAGCAGGAAATGGTTGGATTTCTTACTTTCTAGCTAAGCACAGCCGAACCTCCCTTAGGACTGAAGGTTTGCTTGCAAGCGAATTCAGTGCAGACTCACGGCAAGCAAATTTGAGAAACTGAGCTAGCCAATGGCAGATAGATAGATCACTGAATGATTCTGTGAGCAACTCAATCTGCCTGCTTTGCCTGATTTTGGATAAAAGTTGCTTTTTTTATAAAAAAAAATCAATATTTACATATATGGTGTGTTGTGAGTTAATTTTGTGAGTTTGCTTGCAAGCAAATTTTATGTGACAGACTGAACTAGCCAATGGCAGATAGATTTCTGAATGAATCTGTGATTTTGTGAGCAACTCAATCTGCCTGCCTGCTTTTCCTGATTTGGGGTAAAAGTTGCTCTTTTTTTGTAAAAAAAAAAAAAACCCAATATTTATATAAATATTTATAATATTTACATACAAGCAATGCCCAGCCAGTCACATGACCACCAAGCCCCACCCACAAATTAGGCCACACCCACAGAACCAGTTAGTGGTTCCTGGGATCTAAAATTATGAGTTTGGTGGTCCCTGAGGTCCAAAAGGTTGGCGACCCCTGCAATAGATAGCCTTTACTAGGACCATAATGATCATATGATATGCAAATTAAGTTAATTGATTGTGGTTTTCGTATCACTTAGGATTGATAGGAAATGTAATTATATAGACTCTCATGCACTAACTTATCATTATTACTAGGCCTCAGTATGATTTAATTTCTGAAATACAATATGAATTGGGAAACAGAATTTCAAAGCTAATGTCTAATCACACATATTATTATTACTCTTTGCTCTTGTTCAGTTTCAGTTGGAGGAAACAAATATCAAGATCCTGGAGGAAATGTGTAATATAAAGTTGATCAATGAATAAATATAACGTTTAGTAAATTTAAGTAGTGTTGCTTCATCTATGTAATTATTGGCTCAATCATTTCTTATTAGCTACTTCTGATGTGCAGTAATGCTATCAATTACTTTGAACCAAATTATTAAATATAAATTATATGCCATGATACTTTCACAAGATGTTATCTCTCATATTATTCAAAGTGATGTCTTTCAGTGCAGTCGAAAGTACAGTCCTATTAACTTTAAAATGTTTTCTAGGCTAGAACATAAATGAATGTAATTATAACTTTACTCTGCCAGTAGGATAATTTCTTCTTAAAGTTATTATTATAATTCAGATAGATATAGATATATAAACATACCAGATTCTTGAATACTTAAATTTTCATTCTGCTATTAATTGGAAGTGTTAGCCATATTGTTGACTTCTTAGCATTAGGTTAAATAGTAACCCTATTTACAATATATCTGCATTTTCCATAGTTTTAGACTACTACTTCTATAGTATATATTAGAAATCTATCAACTATTTAGAAAAAAGAAAACAATAATCATAGTTATTTTTTGTCTTTTTTCTCTTTCAGACATAATAAAGATGTTGCATTGATAAATCTGGCGAATGTATTACACAGAGCACATTTCTCTGCTGATGCAGCTATTGTAGTCCACGCTGCTCTGGATTACAGTGATGTCTTCACCAGCTATTATACTTTAGGAAACATATATGCAGTAAATAAGACCTTAATTTCAGTTCTCTTGAATAATAATATTGCATTATTTTACTCTTTACAAATTATTCTGTCTTAAGCTAGTAGATCATTTATACCCTATTAGGGAAAGGGAATATAAAATTTACTGAACCAATACAGTAACCATAACTTCATCTCCAATACGGTCACATGGTAAAATTAGTAATTAAGACAATAATTGAAATTTCATAACTGATCTGTCTAATATAACTTTTATTTCAGCTGACAAACCTTTTCCTTCTCAATCTTTTTTTTTCAGATGCTTGGGGAATACAACCACTCAGTTTTATGTTATGATCATGCTTTACAGGCCAAGCCAGGGTTTGAACAAGCAATTAAAAGAAAGCATGCTGTCCTATGCCAGCAAAAGCTTGAGCAGAAACTTGAAGCTCAACATAGGTAGGTCTTTCCTCATTCTATACTCATCAGAGGAAAACTAATGAGTTTCTGCACCTATATTCTTGTATCAGTTGTATATTGTGATTTAAAATATTAAAAATTATATATAAACTTATTTTTTAAAAAAATTAAATTCATTCTTGTTTCTTTCCTTTCAGTTTTAACATTGTTATTTTTTGAGGTAATAATAATAAAACTAATAAAAAGTGGAAAAGTAATATACAATTGGGTCTAGTAACAACAATATAAAAACAATACATCAAAATTAGTACCAAAGTTCATTTAAATTTAAAGCAAGCTGAATGGAATTTTCTCTGATGTTTTTCAAGATCGCTTCAGCGAACCTTAAATGAATTGAAGGAATATCAGAAGCAACATGATCATTACTTGAGACAGCAGGAAATCTTAGAAAAGCACAAACTGATTCAGGAAGAGCAGATTCTGAGGAATATTATCCATGAAACACAAATGGCAAAAGAGGCACAATTAGGTATCTGTTTATATAACAAATGTTCATAAAGAAAATTGCAAGCCAAATAGGTACCCATATCTATTGTCTAAAAATTCTGTTCTGTTTCAGGAAAACCAAGGTTTCTGCATTGAGCAGACTACTTTCCAGATAAATTTTAACATGATTTTAAAAATTGCATATTGTTAAGTTCAGGTTTATTTTATCAAAGTTAGAATTACTGTTCAGATAAGCATTTGTAGAAGTGTGAAGGCTTTCAGAATCTCATTTCAAGCATTAAATCCTCGTATTCTTCCCAGAAAACCACAGCCACAGCTGACTGGTAACACACCTCTATTTGTAGCTTGACAACAGAAACGAAAGGAGGGGGGAGGAGAAAGGTTGGAATGTATTGGGAGGTGAAGAATCTATGTGAGCCATTTGCAGCCTGAAAAGATCCTGATACTTCAAGGCCAGCAATGGGAACCTTCCGAAGGCATGGACTGTTTTCCCAAAATAAAAATAATAGATTGGTGGACAATGGGTGGCCCAAATAGGGAAAAGGGGAAATTAACTATGATGTATTTTGCATGAAAACTTCAGAGCTAGTTTCACTTCTTCTGTGCCTGTATGGATCTATCAGTAAAGTTATACTCTTAGTAAAATAATGTCCAAGGAATTTCTTTTGCTGCATATGCCAATGGGACAGTTGACAGCCACCCTGTAAGGTCATGGGACTATTTGTAGCAACATTCTCTAAGTTGTGATTTCCTTCTGAAATAAGTAACTACAAAGGTATGCACATCTCTCTAAAGCCATATCTATAAACTTGCAAAATGGGAGCTCTGTAAATTATTTAAAGAGTTCCAGAGAAACCTAAGTTATGCTGCAGATTTTTGTCCTTGTAGTTCATTATAGCTGTTGCCAAACTGATATTTCTAAATATTCTGTCTGTCTGTCTATCTATGCATGTTTTTATATCTTGCAGGAAACCATCAGATTTGTCGTTTGGGCAACCAGCAGCACAGCTTGCATTGCCAGTGGGACCAACCAGTCCGTTATCACCGTGGTGACATGTTTGAAAACGTTGAATATGTTGAGGTTTGTCTACACTGAATTAGTATTTGTGACCCATGATTTGTAAAGGTGATCATGAGATGCCTAAAAAGAGGGGAAAGTGTTAATCTGTTTTAATGAAGTTACCAGTGGCAAGGTTTTTAAGCAAAATTTAACAGTGCCAATGTCTAACCTACTTCCCAAAACTATTTGGACTCTTAAGCTCCATCTTGTACCAGATTCCTGAACGCTGCAAATTTACACCTGAATCTGATGGAATTATTCCAGAGTAATGTGATGTGTTAGAGAAAATAATCTTTTCTAGTTCTCAATTATTTATGCCCAAATGAAACACGTTGAGCATGCCTTTTGGAACTAGTGGCTTTTTCAGAGAGTCTTCTGACAATAAACTTCTTCTTTCCATAAAAATATATTGCCACATGCCTTTAACTCATGGAAAAATGGAGATTCTTCAGTACGATGACCTGAAGATAGGCATTTTTCTGTTCAATACATTACCTTTCTTGAAGCTTAAGTAAAGAACAGATGCCAAGCTAAAATCACTTTACCTATTTTATTTTATTATTAGATTTTTATCTCTCCCCTGCCTTTCTTACTTTATAAGTAACTCAAGGCAGAAAACATACATAATACTCCTTCCTTCTCCTTTTTCCTCCACAACAATATTTTTAGTTCTGGGAAAAAAAATAGCACATCCCTTGCCTCATCACTTTATACTCAATCTGAGGCCATTTATAAATTTCCATCTATTTACCACTCCTTTCTACCAATCCATTTTTGAAATACAGAAATTAAATACTATTAATATTTATTGAATATTGCTTTAAAACAACTAAAGAGAAAAATCACTTTTAATAAAACAGTTCTATCTTACAGTTGAAAATGATCATTCTCCTGTACTTATTGATGTCCTATTTAATGTCAAATTTAATTATTTCAACACCAAATTATGGATTGGGAAGTTGTATATCACTCAGATTTTATTGTGATGCTCTATAGGTCTTTTAAGTAAGTATGTAATAAGCATATAAATTCCCTATTTAATGCTGTCAATTGTCTAGAAGAATTTATTTCTTAGCACTTTAACATTTCTTTTTTAGCACTTATCTGTTTCTCCTTCTTGAGGCTTCGGAAGCAAATTCTGTGCCTGATTGAAGTAAGCGGTGTTGGAAAAGGTTATCTGCTCGTAGATTCACAACCCTCTGCCAGACATATGTTCCCTTGTTTGCTTGTATATGCATAATAATTAAAAATAGCTTTCAGTGTCTGTTTCATTCAATAAGTGTTTTCAAGAAATGTAAAAGTCAAATGATATATATATGGCATTCGGCTTTGCTCGGGTATTTTCCCATGTCATAGTAGTTGTGCTTTTAAAGTTGTAAGAAGCCTGATGATGGCAGATGAGATTCTGCTGAAACGTCGCTACAACTTTAAAAGCACAACTACTATGATGTGGGAAAATACCCGAGCAAAGCCGAATGCCATACATGTAAGTGCCTGCGAAAACTTAAGAAATATATGTATATGTATATATATGTATATATATATATGTTTTCTGAGGTTCTCGCGGGTATTTGTAGGTGGATCTTTGGTTGTTCGGGTTTTCTCCCGCGTAAGATTCGAAGTATCTAGGCAACGTTTCGATGAAGTCTCATTCATCATCTTCAGGCTTCTGTCTTTGGCTCTTGCTTCTCAGAGTGATGTGAGATTGCAGGGGGCTTGGTTGTGCTCAGGTTGTGCTGCACCCCCAGCAACTAAGACTAACCTGAGCACAACCAAGCCCCCACCTGAACAGAACACGCCTCCAGCCAATCAGAACACGACCAACCCCCCAACCAATCAGAACACAGCCAAACCCCCTACCAATGAGAACACACCCCCACCCAATCAGAACACAGCCAAGCCCCCACCCAATCAAGTCCCACCCCCACTAGCAGTTAAAAGGAAGAAGCAGCTGCAATCTCACATCACTCTGAAAAGCAAGAGCCGAAGACAGAAGCCTGAAGATGATGAATGAGACTTCATCGAAACGTTGCCTAGATACTTCGAATCTTACGCGGGAGAAAACCCGAACAACCAAAGATCCACATGTATATATATATGTATATATATGTATATATGTAAGGAATTTCTTTGCATCTTAAGCTAATTTCTTTGAACCTTAAGCTAGATGTTTTATGAATTTTCAAGAATATCTAAGCAAAACTGGATCTAGTTAAATAATTTTTGTAATAAAGTTGTTGTTTTTAAATGTCCTGAGGTGTCACTTCTATATTGCTGTTTGCAGTTTGGTGGTGATTCTTCATTTGCTACAATGGCATCTGTGAATTCTGAACTTCAAGTCAACAGCAGTGACTTCAGCCATTCCTTGGAGTCCTCCCCTTGGGTCCATGCTGTATTCTCATTATGGGGTTTAGAAGCTGATGATTATAAGGTAAATGATACAATGGCAGTGTTACTTTCCTTCTGGCCTGGCTTGTCCATTGTGAGAGCTTCATAAATTGCTGTTTGATGTTTGAAAAGCATTAGCCTGCTAGGAACAGGGATTAAGCTAGATAAATTGGGATCATTATCATTGGCCACATTTAAGTGGAAAATGTTGCTCCCTGTTTTATTAGATCATATTTAAAAGATTTACCTAACACCAAATAAGTGATGATTAACAAAATCACTTTATGATTTTTTCCCCTTTGATTAGGATAAGCAGAATATTATGTGGCCTAAAAGATCAGATTGTGTAAAATCTTATCCAGCTATCCCTTCCCCAGAGGAATTGCCAACTTATATCCTGCACCCAGAAAACAGGGGCCAAAGGTAAAAAAAATACATTTTTAACTGCTTCTTTGTTGTACTTGAAGCAGTTTGTATTGCACAGTTAAAATATCTTAATGTAATTATAAAAATATAAAAACTCAAAATTGCTATAAAGCACGAACTGCACTATAAAACAGTTGTGAAATTATGAAACTTTGTCAATTATGAAACTGTGTCTTAATAATTACACAGATTTTATTATCTTTTTCAATTTGCCATTATGTGATCTCAGGGGAGAGATCAAACTGCTCTCTTGACTATTTGTAATGAAAAGTTCTGCCTCTGCTAGTTTCCCCACATGGATTGAGCTGTACTGCCTGGGATTATTACTCTGAAGTCTGAATCATGGTTATTCTACTGTGTTTTGATTATTAGAATTCATTCATTACTTGGCAATCCAGAAGATCTCACACAGACAGAATTTAATGAGCCAGATTGTTCTTCCATTACTGATAACCCTAACAGTGACTCTGTATATTTCTGGATCAAAGAACTAAGCAACCATCTAGATTTAACAGAAAAGATGCCAGATGATTATGCACAGCAAGTAAGTTTATTGATTGTAAACGTATGTTAGTTTGTTAGCATGCACATTGTTCATATTTTATAAATAGATACTCTCCACAGTAAATCTCCCCACATAAAAATCAGATTTAGAAATAGATGAATTAATAAAGAAAGGAAACTATTATAAAATTTGTGTTTAGTTGATAATAAAGAATAATCTTCAGTGTAATCCTCTGTTGTTTTCAAGGTGATTCTGTATGCTTAGCATTTTTTATTATACATGTAACTATTGAAATATGTCCCATATCTAAAAAGTTGGTATTACTAGAAAGTATAATATTTTAAACTTTGCTGATAGTTAAGAGATTGACTGGAAACAGTGAAACCTTTAATTTGAAACACATTTACTCAACCTCAACCAATCAATGAGGGTTGTCTCCTAATATTAAAATACTTCACATTATATAATAATTATCATTTCATCTTCTGCCTACCTATTCATTATGGAAATAGATATAACTAAAGTCTTGGAGGAGGATAAGGCATGGAATAAATGTTGCATTGGGCATGAGAGAGAAGAGCACATATATGTGTTGTGCAATATTAGATTTGTACTCCATTTTAATTGACATTTTTACAACTAATATATATGTTAACTAATATATAGCTAAGGCAAAAAACAAACAATAAAAAAGAGATCCATATAACCACTGCACAGTCTCTGCCATATTACCAGACCTCAGGACCAGTGACAAAACTGTTTCTTTAAGTCCATGTGAAAGGTTGACACAGTCAAGGCCATTGTAATCTCTGGAGAAATAATGCCAAAGAGCTGGCACCACAGCCTTTAAGACTTTTAGTTAGTGTTAGTCCAGTACTTTATACAAACCCTTTTTTTTTCAATAAAAGCTTTTTATATTTTCTGGTTTTAATGATTTTTTGTGCAGATCTTATATTCTCGTGTCAACAATCAGTCAATTACACAACAGCAAATAGGATCGCTCATCTATCATGCCATTTTAAAGGTGAGTTCCATTCTTTATAAGAAAGCCTTTGGATTGTTGTTGTTTTAATTTATGGTGTGATTTATTGCTATATAAATTTCCTTGTAAAAGCAGTACAGAACGTAGATTACTGGCTTAGTAGTAATCCCAAGAATGTTTATGTAAAACAATTAATACTACTTTTATGTTGTGAACTTCAAGCCAACAGAGTGCACTTCTGTTTAACATACTTAGTCTTATCATTTTCTTTGCCTCTGGGCTTTTCCACATCTGTTTTTACATCTGTTTCAAGTAAGGGCCATAATGTACACAATACTACAGGTTCTGATGTTTGGTAGAGTTATGTTGACAGTTTTATTTTAGTTTGTTTCTATCCTCTGCATGGAATATACAGTATATTGAACTGTCTTCATTGATGTATTTATTGTCTTTTTTTGGTCCTAGTTAGGTACAAACAGCTCAAATCCCCCCTATATGTACATATGTACGTGAGATTAAAGAACTTCGTCCATCAGAGCAAATTTTGCACTAATGCATATGTTTATATTTATTTAAATTGAACCATATTTATTGTTTAATTAATATTCACCCAATTTAAAGAGGGGATTCTGAATCACAATCACCTCAGGTTTTCATATTTTGAATACTGTGCTATCATTTCCAAACTTATTTAGTTATTGGTGATTCCTACATTACCATAACTTATGAACCAATTAAAAAGCATAATCCAAGCATAGATCCTAAAGAGCACTATTCCTGATTTCCGCTTTTAATCAGTATAAAATAACAGTCCTGTTATCCCATAACTACCAAATTTGCTGAAAAGCCTTTGATGAAAACTTCATCAGATATGTTTTGAATATACAGCTGTATTGTATCCAACAGGTTAAGCTTCATCCACATGCATGGTGACATATTCAAAAACTTCTTGAAGTTTATTGAGGCTTTATAAATACTTATTTAAAATACCACACAGTGGTGTGCAGTGTGATTAAAGGTAAAATAATCTTAAACAGTTGAGGAATGACTATGCCTAAGTATTAGAATAAATAAGGGATAGCAGAATGGGTTTTTTATTTATATCCTACTACATCTTATGAACTCTAATCTTAATTCTTAAAAATTATAAAATAATAAATCCTAAAGGAAAATATGTACATAAATACTTTTACCATTGTAATGTGAGTTATTTGATTAAAAATACTGACTTAAGGGATATTAAAGTTAAACCTGCATTTATTGTTATTAATTTATGCTCTGCCTTTTTACTTAAGAGGGCATTCAAAATGACCGATAATTAATTGGATTTGCATGCACTTCTTCATAGTAGAACAGGTTTTTTTATTCATATAACTCAGTCAAATCTGAGGGAGATTGTCATTGTACTTTCAAATCAGAAGTCAGGGATGCTGTACTAGTGGATTCCTGCACTGAGCTGGAAGTTGGAGTAAATAATTTGCAAAGTCACTGCCACCATTACTTCTGGATTCTTAAAATATACACAGATTTTGGGTGATGACCATGTTTAGCCTTTCATTGGCATGATAGAGATCCTTGCTTCAAAAATAGTGGGCTGGCAAAGGCAAAATTTAAATGTTATTTTACTTAATTTACCATTAAAATAATTAAAATTAAATGTAACTAATATATTAAAATGACAATTTAATAACAACCTTAGGATGACTGTAGAAGCTGGAATCAAAACATTCAGGCACTACATGCAGCTTCTTTACAGTTCACTATTGTAGAGTTAAACATATCTCCCTTCCTAGTCTTTTCCCTAGATGTTGCCATTTTTCATGTTATTAATAAATGCTACTTTTAAAGGTAGGAAAATCTAAAACATTACTTTAGTCTCTCTGGAAAGCAAGGAAAAGCCCCATTCCTTCCAATAAAAGAATTTTGATTATATATGCAACTTGCTATTGTAAGCATGACATTTTGTTAATTAATGGAAATGCTTTAAACCTGTATTTTCAGCTAGATTGACAAAGGGTAAACACTGCAACTAACAGTGTAATTAATAATAATCTTTTTTTTCTTTTTTCATCGACTTTTAGGCAAGGGAACCTTTATGGCTGGTACTCAATGAGGCTAGCCTTTATTGGCGTGCACTTGGAAATGGCACGTTTGCCTTCACCTGTTTACGAAAAGCATTTAACTTGACCCCTCATGAATTTCAAGATATCCCTTTAGTCAACCTAGCAAACCTTCTCATTCATTATGGCCTTCACCTAGATGCCAGCAAGCTTCTCCACAAAGCTTTAGCCATCAATGATTCTGAGGTAAGTGATTTTTCTCAGAAGAGAAAAACAAGATTTCTTATCTCCACTTTTGCTGTTTCATAAGAGTTTCAAATGGAAATGTGGAAGTACTTTTATTCAAACTTTGAAAAGCAGGCTTTTGTACTACAGGTAATCCCCCAGACCCAGATTCTATCATTTTTAGGAAGATTTTCAGAAGAACAAATTTATCCAGAAAAAGTATTTATGTTAGAAATTCAAAAAGAGCCCTATGTAGCCATGTGACTTGGATTCATTCACTGCTGCAGGGGCAGCCATTTTTAATTCTGTGACTTCCCTTTGCCGTTCAAGGTTATGACATGCAATTTCCTGAAGCCGGCAGCGGTTTTTTTCCCCCCCTGGTCACATAGCCAAACAAGATCTATGATTTTGCAGCCGGTGCCAAATTTGGTGGGGGGAGGGGTGTTTATTTTTGTTGTTTTGTTTTGTTTTGAGCTTAGCAGGGGCAAGTATTTTTTTTAAAGCAACTCAAGCTGAGAGTTCTGTTAATTCGCCACCACCATCCCAGGCAGCTGCCTGGAGACACTTGAGCTGACTAGCAGCTAGTGATTTCTTTTTTAAAAAGCAATTGCAAGTGGGGAGCTTTGGGAGCCTGCTTGGAGGCAATTTAATTCCTGAGCGGAAGGCTGCAACAGAAACAGCTAATGGGTGGGCGGCATCCTCTCTGTTCAGTTAACGAATTGGAGGAAATAGTAACACAAATCTTTGTTCATTTAACAGCCCATTTGATTCAATTAACCGATTTGATTTTTAAAATTCATGAAATTGAGTCTGATTCATTTGATGAATTTTTTGCCTTGTGATCCTAATGGGTAGGCTCCATTAGGCTTGTACCTCGAGGATCACCTGTATTTTGTGCTAGGAAATGAATGTATGACTGTTACTTCTTATCTAGTGTAAACCAGGAAAACTATGAAAAATAACTTTAAATACATAAGATGAAAGTAGCTATTTTCTAATTTTGGCTTTTGTCCTTCTTGCCCAGAAGGTTTCAGATTCCCTGGAAGGATTAGAATTAGACATGGTTTATGAGCTATACTTAGGATCCAAGAAATGTATTATAGAATGAGAAGGAACAGATTCTCTGTGCTAGACTGAGAATAACCTTCTTGTTATTAAACAACTAGATGGATAACCTCATTCTAGTAGAGAGAATCTGTTCCTTCTCATCCTATTAGCCATTCAGTATTTTTGGTATTCATTTGAAATTAAAGTTGTATTAATATAAGAATGTATATAGCCTAAATTATTTTGTTTAAAAAAAGAAAGCCCAAGAAAGTAATTAGTGTAAAAATTCCAGTTCTTTTTATCACTTAGCAGTAGAAGTGTTTTTAGAAGATTGGGGAGGGGGATGGTGGAATCTCTTGGAAAAGTTAAAGCTACATAATTAATATATGCAAGTGAAATTCTGGCCTTCCCTTGTTTCTATACTGAGAAAAGTTTGTTTTTCTCCTTTTAGCCTCTGACTTTTTTGAGCTTAGGAAATGCCTATTTGGCTCTGAAGAATGTCAGTGGGGCTTTACAGGTTTTCAGAAATGCTCTAGATATTGCCACCAAATGTCTTGAGTGTGAGAGGAACCTGAAGCTGATCCGTTGTTTGCAGTTCTATCCATTTCTGTACAACATCACATCTTCCACCTGCAGTGGTAAGCTACTATTGAAAATATTCCCAAATTAATATCCTAACAGTGTAATGCTCAGTTACATTTTTCCATAGTTTCTATAGTTATTTTTGGTCATTATGCTTGCCCGGTGTTTCTCAACCTTAGCAACTTTAACATGTGTGGACTTCAACTCCCAGAATTCCCCAAATAAAATGACTGGAAGGAGAAATTCTAGGCATTGAAATCCATTCATCCTGAAAACTGAAAAGTTTCAGAATTGAAGGAGCAAGACAAAAACGTATTTGCATTTACAATTGCTTATTCTTCTCCAGGTGTATACTACTTCCATTCTCCATTAAATATCTGCTTCCTTTCTTCTTATTTACATGTCTTCTTATTTACATGTTACATGTTTGCAGATATTTAATGGAGAATGGAAGTAGTATACAACTGGAGAAGAATAAGCAATTGTAAATGCAAAGAAGTTCTTGGGCTAAAAACAGAAAATACACATAACACTACAATACATCATATGGGTATTTACAGCTTATGGTTCTTAAACCCTAATATTTCATCCATTTCCTGGTTGCTAAATGCAGATTCCCCTATTTAAAAATTGTGAAATGGCAGTTTTAGCCAAAGAACTCTGCAGTTAAAATCTGCATAATTATAAGGATATGTGTCTTTTTTGTGCTAGATTTCTTGTATATTTTGGAAGCAATAGCCTATTATTATATTTTAAACACATACTAAAACAAAACCCAGGGTGATAAGAACTATACCATTCCCTGTTTTTGTTTGTAAAAATTTTGACAGCAGGACAGATATTAAGATGCTTCTAATAGGAGCATTAATGCTTCTAATAGGAGCATAATTTGTTTTCATGTGGATTATACTTCTGGCTTTTATTAATAATTTTGGTCATCTCATAAATATTCAAGAACTATATATTTATAACATATGGATCTAATTTATAACTGTAGATAAATAAGTAGGTTTTACATTTAGAAGCGTATATAATATATATTGTTCCCCCTGTTGCTTTTCATATGCTCTGTGATTGCAGGGGTATTGCAGTGGCAGTTACTTTGTGCTGGGGTCATGCATCCCTTCAGTGCCATCATAATTTTGAACAATAACTGAATGAAGTCAAGGACTTCCTGTATTCAAAAATTATCTCACATTGCAGGATATACATTATGATATTTTAAAACAAATAATGCTTAAAATTAAAGAAAATATGAACAGTGAGTTTTGCCATAAAGAATATTCTGTATTATTCATAAGGCATTGAATAAGTATGAAATATTTACTACCTAGTCAGAAGTAAATAATTATTCCTACAGCTGATTTTTGCAAAAGAATAAATTATGGTGAGAAAAAAAATAATATGAAATAAGATTTTTAAACTACAGTTTAGATTACAAAAGTTTGCCAACTTTAAGTTGTCATCATTCAGTATTTATTCTCCTCTGTCTTTTAAAGGACATTGGGTTATTTTTGAGGCATTAATTGAAATTCAGGCCACAACACTACTTATTATTCTGTTCTATATGTTGCTTCAACATAACCTGAGAAGCCTTGCAAATAGCATTTTGTAGCCTTTCTTATCTGTTGATGATCTTCGTAATTTAAATTTAGAAAGCCATTTTTTTATGTTGGGCCTCATTTGATCTCTGCCCACATCACCCCCAAAAATAATCCTGTTATAGCCAATGATGCAAGAAGAAACATAGGTGAAACTAATTAGGTTGCCAATTTAACCATTACTAATGGTCAAAAGGATGTTTTAAAAGAGATTGTGATATTATCCATCGCAATACATTCTTAGAGGAGCAGAGAAAAGGTTTGTGCTCATATGTCCCATTTGTGCCATATTAATTTAACTTGCTGTGTAAAAGACATATAACATTAGCATTTAGACTTACATACCACTTTACAGTTCTTTACAGCCCTCTCTAAGCAGTTTACAAAGTCAGCATAATGCCCCCAATAATCTGGGCCCTCATTTTACCGATCTCGGAAGGATGGAAGGCCAAGTCAACCTAGAGTTAGTGAGAATCAAACTGCTGGCAGTCGGCTGAATTAGCCTGCAATATGGCATTCTAACCACTGCAATACCATGGATCATATGTGTTTTTAATTGCTTATTTGCCCAGAAATGACAGAAAATCATATCTCTGGTTCATAATTTCCATCCAAAAATAAACTGCGTGATTTATAGGAGTACAAAAAAATAGACAGTTTATTGCCAAATTGCTCTGCAATTTCTGGAATCTCTTATTAACTGCCAAAAAAGAGATGGTGTGGCAGCTACTTGTGGCTATGGGTTGTTTATCCCCATGTCATAGAAAGCTGCCATTACATCCTACCAGTGTTCTTTTCCATAAACATGTTCATATGAGCCTCACATGCAGTAAGTGCTTAAAAGTTCAGTTGGGTTTGCAGGAGCGGCATATCTGTTATGGATCTTATATATCAAGATACTGTATGTATTCTGATAGGATCCAGTCTTTTCTACCACAGCATCTTTAAAATGTTGTCATTATCTTCAATTGTGCATAAAATGATTGAATTGGATTATACCATATTCCTTAATTAAACTTTTGCATAAAGTAGCATTAGATGCTCCTTTTGTTCTGTAACTAAATGGAGCAAAGATATTAAACAGCATATTAAAGGAACAGCATATTAAAGTGGAATTCTAATTTAGGGTATAAATCTTAGATCTTGTTTTAGTTTATCATAGTGTATTATCTAATTTATATGGTATCTCAAGTTTTCCACACTTTATATTTTCTCAGAGATGGATATGCCATCCTCCTGAAATGCTATTTGACTTGTAATGGAGTTCAGTCATGAATATTGAGGAGGAAGGGAGAAATATTTGCCTTTTCCCTGTAAAATTTCCTGGGTACTCTGTGGTATCATGTCAATACCATGGGAAGCTGTCATTGTGCCCTTAGCATGATAAAGATGTTAAACCACCAAGGAATCTATCCAAACAATGTTGCAGGTTGACATCCATTAATCTCACAGCATTGTATATATTTATTCTTCCCTTTAGGCCTTTTACTTCTGTATATCAATAATTCAAGAGATGTAGCAAGTGGTTTGCCCTGAGGGAATCATGTCTGCAATCTCTCTTTTTCTGTGCATATCTCACAGGCTACTGTCATGAGAAGAGTCAAGATGACAGCCATGCTAAGCAGAAGTACTTTAACCCACAGGATTCTGATATCATATTAATAGAAGAAACTCTTAAAACGGCTGCTGAAGATGATTTGACAGATCAGGTTCATGGTTCAGCAGGGGATTCATCCTCTTTGACTTTAGAAAGTAAGTGAATACTCAGAATCAATATAACCTTTAGGCAAAAGCAGCTATGACAGTGTAGTTTTAATGACTTAAAAATACATTTGCAAATACATTTTATATTTGTACATATAGTGCTTGTAAGAAATCGTGCTAAACTTTCTGCTTATGGTGTAAATAACTTGACCAGGTGATTCAGGTCCTAAAAGGTTCATTTAATTTTAAATTCATGGAGACCTAGACCACTGACTATTTGTCAGAATAACCGTGCAACACCTATACATAGTTTTGGTCAAAATTAGATTGCATACTAAGATGAATAAGAACAGTACAAACATTTTTCAATTTGTACTAAATTATTTACAATTTTTATAATTAAAACCTTTGCATATCATAGGTCAAACCACTAAGCTAGTGTCTCATCTAAATGCAGGGGATTCTGTGATGATAAAGCAATAGGATGCATGTTACTCTGAACTTTAAAAGAAGGTTATGTATAGGACAGTCTTGAGTTTTGCAACATATAATTAGTAGATAATACAGTGTATTAGAGCACAGTTGTAAGATCATAAAACAGCTGTCTGTCTTCCCAGGATTGCATGTTCTGAAGCACCTTTTGGAGATTAAATCTAAAGCACTGCATAGCCGTGCTCATCAATAAAATAGTTACTGATTTGGAATATATTCTATTTTAGCTGGTTTTAACTAGAGCCAAGGAGTTATACAGGCAACTAAGTAACATTTAGTTTTATTATTAAATCAAGCAGATATTTCTGAATTAATGTTTTTAACTGAAAAGCAAGGGTGGTAGAGGAACTGATAGGTGAGCAGGGCCATTAATTTTAGCACAATCATTTCTTGCTACAGAAGCCAAAAACTGCCTATACGATTCCCTTCCCCATTAGCCAACAAAGGCAAATGAGCACGATGCACTTTCTGCAACTGCCAGCTCACATTGAGCCATTCACATTGCCCTTAATGTTCTCTTTGGCCTCAGTGAAGATGGCAGGTCCATACAAATCCTTTTCCTTTTATGCCAGCAGGAAATCTACCGTGAGCAATTCTGGTGTATAAGAATTTTATATCTTACTGAAATGTTCTAGTTTCTGGAATTACTATTCTCTTCAAATAATGGAAACATGCTGTATTTCATTAAATTTTAAAAGAGAAGTGCACAGCTGCTTCAGATATATTTTTGCCTTTTGGGTGATTTCAGTGTGGATATATTTTAGGAAATGAAATGGAAACCCCTGCACAAGAGAGCAAGATCTTGAAAAACAATTGAAATTTTATTAAACTTTACCCTCTGACCCCTTCAGATGGTATGTTGATAAAAGTTTATTTATCTCTCTTTCATACACACATGCACACACACTTGTATTCCAGGTTAGCATCCAATACGTTAGTGACCTATATGTTAAATATAAAAATATATTCAGGAGAACAGTATTATACAAAGTGCTTCAAAACAAGTTTTGAGAATTGGAAAAAAATGTTCTTAACACCCCAGGAAAATAGATCACTTTCACCCATGTGAATTTTAGATCTTTCTTATGTCACATTTTTTTCTAGGAATGGCCACAGGCAATATTTGTTTAAATAACAATGTAGTAAGGATTCTGAACTGACTAGACAGTATGTTGGCATATTCTCTGTGAGGATATAATTGGTTTTAAACAAAAACAGGGAGAAATAGCTTGATAAGATAATGTTCTGTAGAACTTTGAACGAGTGTAAATTGATTGATACCAAATCAGTGTTAACTCTTAGTGATCACATAGATCAAGGGTGTCAAACTCAAGGCCCAAGAGGCTGAATCTAGTTGGCGGGGTGCTTAAATCTGGCCAGCGGGGTCACCCTGGAAACAGGGAAGCACCAGCCTACAGTGCCTCTGCCAGCGAAAACAGACCCCCATTTTCGCTGTCAGAGTGCTGCAGGTTGTCATGGCCCAAAATGGGGCTTTGTTTTCACTGGCAGCGGGCTAGCAAAACAAAAAAACAAAACAAAAGGAGAAATGTTTTCCCTTTTGCATTTGAGCATCCAAGAATGGACAGGAAAGGAGAAAGGGAAAGAGGAAGGACAAAGAAAAAGAAAGATGGGAAGAGAACAAGGAAGGAAAAAGAAGGAGAATGAAGAGGGAAGGAATGAAGGAGATTACAATGAGTGGTAGGGAGGGTCTGAGTAAAGTCCTGCCTTAGCACTTGGCCACCACAGGTGCACCCAAAATGAATGATGTCAAGCTGGCTACACCCCCCCCCCCCCCAGCATTCCCCCAGGTCAAACATAACCCTGATGCGTCCCACAATGAAATAGAGTTTGACACCCCAACATAGATTTTCTCCATGATTATGTCACTAACCGGATCCTTCAGTTCTTCCAACGGTATACCAATCACACTATAACTGATTCCATCCACTTCTTTTTCTTCCCCCTTTCTCAACAGTAGAACTTTCTCCAGAGAGTTAGAACTTCTCATAATGTAGTCATTATGTCTTGTCATTTTTGTTTGAGCGAAAACTCTAGGTTGATCTGTTTGTTTTCTTGACAATCCATAGCATTTTCAGTTTTCTCCAATGCCAAAATTCAAAAGCATCAATATCCTTTCTATCTTGTTTCTTCATAATTCACTGCAACCTTCAGTATACATACGTTCATCTCTATAAAATAAACTAGTTTGTGTTTTGCCTTTTTATTGAAATAATATTTATTTAGTAGACCAATAATGAGTTTTTCAGGATAAGAAAAAATCCTTTACAATGCACATTACCTTACTTAAAAATAAGTATTGAAGCTTTGATTAAGAGTGTAACATGTTTTTCTATTGATCATTTGGTTTTGAAATGGCAGAATTGTCACACTTCTTTATCATAACACTTGGAACATAAAATAACTTTCAAACGAAGCAATATATTTTGTTGATTCTGCTATCATAGGTACTGTTATTGCAGAAAACAATGACTCAGAAGAAATAGAAAACTTGGGAGGTGCTCAGATGTCTGAGGAGATGCTAGCATTAGTGGATGAGTTTGAAAACTCTTGGCCCCTTGAAGCTTTTGAAGGGGCCCTGGAAGTAAAAGGTCATCGGATGGACTTGCAAGGGATCCGTGTCCTCAAGAAAGGTTCTCAAGATGGAGTCGCCAGCTCCTGTTTGGGAGATTGTGGAGAGGATGATGGTGATGATGGTGAAACTGAATGGGTAAGGACTCTTAATATGTGGCTAAAGGATTAAAATTTACACTATTATAATCTTAAAGAGAGTATTTATAAAATGACGCACCATTGGTATATGTCACCAGAGAAATTCTCTAGAATATATAAAAGCACTTACTGAAAATGTGAACAACAAGAAGGCACATTTTATCAAGTTTGGTGGATGTGTAAAAATGCTAGAAAATTCTGGATTTAAATACATTGATCCATAGGATTTTAAAGCTTAATATACAATTGTAACCAGAGGGTTCTGGGGTGGAGGGATTCGATGAATAAACAGTTGAACAAAAAGTCATGGAACTTTGTTTTGTACATGATAACTGCAGCAAGATTATTGTATATACAAATATGGAAAGTTTTGGCACTACCCATAATGGAAGAAAGATTGGTTAATATAATAAAACTTGCTGAGATGGCTAAATTAAACTCTTTGCTCAGAGAAAAGACAATATCTACATTTATGGAAACATTTATGGACTGGAAACCCTTTATGGGCTTTCTGCATAAAACAAAAAATAAACTTATATGATTTATGGATATTTAGAACAGATTATAGAAACTACAGAATAAGAGGTATATTTATAATTGTACTTATATCTGCTGTAAATAATATTGGAAGCTGCTTTGTATCTTTTTTCTTTTTCTTTTTTCCCCTTTCTTGCACTCTCTTTCTTACTTTATATAAGTGTGTATTAGGTTTTACTTTTTGTCTTTAAAAATATTTAATAAAAATAAGATAGTTTTCAATTTACAACCATAATTTGGACTGGAATTTCAGTTGTTTGCTGATGCAGACATTAAATAAGTTATCACATGATTGGACAAGATTTTTACAATTTTAGCATAGTCATTAAGTGGATCATATGGTTGTTAACTGAACCCAGTTTCCCCAATTGATTTTGCTTGTCAGGAAACAGGTGGGAAAGCTGTGATTGATACTGCAAATGTTGTAGATGTGAGTAAGTTGTCTTTGGCCCAAATTGTGATCACATAAGAATGAGAGCGTACAAAGGTTATAATTTTGATAAAGGGTTGTAAATCATTTTTTCCAAGGCTGATTTAACTTTAAACAAAAGTTAAGGTGTGCGTGTGTTACTGTGTTATATGAAAGATAGATTTGGAATATTTCATTTAATTTTGTTTTACCTCTTTTAGCTACCATCATTCACAATCTCTGTTCAACCTCTTCCATAGTTTTCCATTTTTTTGTTTTTCTCCACCTTTGTTTTATTTGCCTGTAGCTTTTTTTGCTCTCAGTACTCTAATATTCCTACTTTTCTGATTTTTTCTTTTCATCCCATCGATCTTTCCGTATCTCTCTGTGTACTTTAGCCTCCCCATTTACTTTGCTATGCTCTACTTTCCACTTACATTTCTTTTCAGTAATTTAGTTTATCAGTGCCAATTTTTTGAAATAAAAGTTTATCATGATTCTTGGCACTGGATGACTTGGAAAAAATGTGAATATACTGTAAATCATGTTCATCACCTTCATATATAATACATATTCATTTTCTTTGAAAAAAATCCTATTTTCTGTTTTAAGAAGGTATAATGTAAATGTCAAATTGAAATTGCTTCTCTTGGCCAGACCATAAATACAGATTATTAAAGACATAATGGACCATAATGAACAAGCCTTTTCCATCATTGCAGAATAACCTTAAATCTTAATATGTGTAATTTGAATGTTTTAATATTTTAGTTATTTTTCTATTTGTTTTATAACTAATAAGTTGCCCAGAGTCACTTTATAGGGAAGATAGATGGCATTAAAATTTAATTGATAAATAACCTCAGAAATTGCTCTTCCTGGAAAAAAAAATATTTTTAAAAAATATCTTCTTGTATGGGACTAAAATTAGACTATGTTTCATCTCTTTCCTGATGTGCTTTTTCCCATATTTCCATGCATAGACATGTGCTTACTCCTTCAGAATGTACCTTTTGCAAATGCCCATTGACAGCATAGAGAGCCAGTAGGGCATGCAAAGGCAAAGGCAGGAAGCTTCCCCCTAGACAGTTAATTGTTGGTTGTAATAACATTTTGGCTCTAAAGATATGGATTTTAGCAACGTCTGATAGTCTAGAGTAGACTATTTTAATAGTACATAATCATTGCTTATGCACTTTGGCACTATTAAATGCCTTTTCTGATGAACCTTCTGTACTGAATTCTGAGCTAAACAAATTATTGTTATATATGCTTATGTTTGATGTATTAAGATGTGAGCAGAATTAGAGTAACCAGAATAATCAAGAAAAAGGAAACTCTCTGGAAATTGCCCTTGAAAATCAACTTAGTCTGAAAGGAATCAGCTTATTTCTACGTTCTTATCAGCAGGCCTGATATTTTTAGTTCTGTTACCTTCACCATTTTTTTTTATTTTGACAGATCACATTTCAAGTAAAACGTGTGAAGAAACACAAACCAGAAAATATAGACCCACAAGAACCTGCTGGAAGAAATGGAGAGGAAGGAGTAGCTGGAGTAAATGAAAACCTTTACCAAATGGCATTGGAAATCAGTGGGCCAAAAATACCTTCCCCTGGGCCACCTGGTAATATACTTTCGTTTTTTAAAAACAAGACCGATACTTTTTCAGAACATCAGGACACACTTGATATACACATTAAATAGGATGTGATAAAAGCATACTGTACACATTGTGCAGTAAAATCCTGTGCATATCCATTCATAGATATATTCCAAAACATGCAAAGGGCTTGCCAACTATACTATTCCAATAATTAAACTTCCCATTATTGAAAAAGAATTTTAAAAATTGAAATGATTCTTGTTTTCAAAAGGTTACCTTGCTTCTTTGCAGGAAGAAAGAAAGACTATCGCAGCTTGGGCTGGCCAAGTCCTGATGAGTGTGTTAAGTTCCGCAGGATGGATCTTACTACTGTAGCCAGCACATGGCTAGCTGTTTCTGCTAAAAATATTGAGTGAGTATTTTTGCTATAAACAAAATTAGGTCAGTACGTAACTGGGACAGATATGTATAGCTTAAAATATTCATCTTAATGGGCTGGTACACCAAATTGTGACTGTATTATATTCTTTCACTTACTTTGATAATGCTATTATTGGAGCTAATAATCCACAGAGGTCTGAGCTTCTGTGAGTGTCTTTGTTCTAATGTCACACATGTCATCTCAGAATATGCAGAATATTCTGCATATTGCAGAATATCATGACTTAATGGCTAACTTCAGAAATGAGTGGAAGTTAAGTGTGAGCAGTAATGTTATGTCCAAAACAAAGTTTGAATAGTTAAAGGAATATCTCTCCAAATGAGTCAAAAAATATCAAGAGAGATTATAAAATTTGCAAGGTGATGCACATGGGATGAAGGAGGAATTGTAATTTCACATCTATTTTGAATTGGTCAGGACAACCGAAGAAAATATAGTTTAGGTTTAGGTTTGACGCTGCTTTAAACCTCGCTCTGAGGTACTGCTCTCAGCCCACAATATCGGGCTCAGACAACAAGCCAATTAGTCCATTCCTGTCACAACCAATGGATGAACACTTGATCTGGAAAAAAACACTTTGTCTACAGGTAAGCATTTGTATATATTATCATTAAATTTGGTAATACTTTAACAATCCTGTTTCTTGTAGCATCACGGAGCACATTGATTTTGCCACTCCCCTGCAAGAGCCCGCCATGGAGCCTCTCTGTTATGCCAACCTGCCTGCGAGCATGCATACTTTGGATCACCTCCATGGTGTTGCCAATCGAGCCAGTCTTCATTACATGGGAGAGAGTCAACTGAAAGAGGTAATGTTGTGCTCTCATATGGGCTTGGGGTCGATCTAAAAACAGCATGCTTAGAACAGACTCACTTGAAATCAATATTACTTGATTTATTCACGAGTTGCTGATTTCAGTACATATGAAGTTCGGCTGATAGGAAGCTACAAGTCTTTTTCTAGGTAAATGTTCCCTATGGTTAACAGTTTTGCAATTCTGCACCACTAGTTTGCTCACATGCATGTACACATGTGATGTTTAGAAAATCAGATTGCATCCTCAGATTTCATGGAACAAATATTTGTTTAACTTTCCTATTTTTAGGCATGAAATGTATGACTTTGGAGAATTTAGTTTGCAGAGAACAACATTACCCTGGGCAACTGAGGAAAGAATAAAATTATTTGTTATAATAAAATTTACCCAAATTTAGACAAAGATGTATTATCTAATTTCTGAAAAGTCTACCATGGTTAATAGATTTTATCATAGGATCTGCTCCTGAGCTTCTTACAGTTTTCAAAATTGAGGATTCCAGGTTTGTAAATTGTAAATCTTAATCATTAAACTAAAATATTCTTAAAGGTTTTTGTATGCACAGATTTGGAAATACTAATTTTTAACCATGTGTATTACTTGCAGACTTGAAATCTGCAAGACTACTGGACTCAGCCTTTCAGAATGAAAAAGATTGTATCTATTTCTGTCAGGCCAATTTGATAGAAATTATATCAGAATCTTTGTTTTTTCTTGATTCACAGGTACTGCAGAATCTTGGAAAAGACCGATATCCACCACAGTCTTTAGAACAAGTTGGTACTCGAATAGCCAAAGTACTTGAAAAGGTAGCTCCGTGCATTTGAAATAACACAAGTTTATGTTTTCCTAGTTTCGTTCCAATGATAGCTGTGGTTGTAATATGTAGACTTCTCTAAACATCAGCCATCTCTCAAAATAGTAAATCCCAAGTATATTCCAATTACAGTTCCCCAAATTGCCACAGTAAGAGCCAAGTGGCAAGCCTACACATAAAGAGAACAAAGTTGGGAAAGGCTGGTTTCTACAGATCAAATTAGAACTGATCCATCTTCCTGCTTATTTGCTAATTAGAAAAAAATAGGTATCTGGGAAACAAGATCAAAACCATCCAGAATGCAATATCATCTTTGAGCTTCTCACTTCAAAAAAATGACTTGTCTTTAATACAATCATAGCAAAGATGGGTTTTTCTTCATAATACCTGATAGAGACACTCTAGCACCAGCCTCCTTACTGCAATGTTTATACTGAAGTAGAGTGTCCAAATAATAAGGAAAATGTCAGTCTCCAAAAACCAAAGAAGATTCACGGAGTTACTTCAAAGTACTTTCCTTTATTTTTTGTCACCTATAGATAGAATCTTGCCAAATGAAAGCAAACTAAAAATATACTCTGAGAACTCTTAGAGAGGAGTTGTATTGATCCTCTTACCTTCCAACCAAACTGTCTCTTGGTCCTCTGGAATGCAGACCCTTCCTCCTGGGAATCCAGACTATATTCCACCACAGAAATAGAGATTAGTAGTGCCAGCATGAAGTAATCTACAATTTAATAAAGCTTGTTTTTTCCAATTCATATTTTAATATAATATGTAAATCCCTTTTTGATATTCAGTACGTAACCTGTTTCTTGGCATATAGGGAATGTAGTGACCTAATGCCCTTGGCCCTCTTCTTTCTGGAGATAAATGAGATCTTGTGGTTGCCTTGATTCAAAGAAATGTTGTTGGATATGGTTGCATCCGATCTAGAGGTGTTTCAAGACTGGGAAACCACAACTGCTTAGCTAAACCCAATCCCAGATACAATATTTAGCCAGCACTTTATATTACTTGTAAGGATCCAGATGCCTGATTTGGGGTATTAAAAGGCTAGATTGAAACGCCAATAGAGGGGGATGTCTTTCCACTGATTTGTTTGTGGAATAAGTGCAGATTTATTGATATTGGTCTATTTTATGCTTTGATTTTTCTGTGAGCAGCATACATGCCTCACCTTCCTCTTTGGTGTAGCTGGATGTTTTGCTTCAATATATGTATTTCCGGCTGCTTGCCTTTTGTGAAATGGTGTTTTGGTAAAATATATGTCTTGCTATTTGGGTTTGGACTCCACCTTTGCTTTGTACTGAAGTTCTTGGAGAACTTCTTGGTCACCAGTTTACATTTTAGTATAGCAGTGTTTTTTATTTCCCATTTTAGTAAGCTATTGATTGGATGGACAAGCTCTAATACTTCAGGAACCATTCTGAGAGTGGCATCACTAAAGTTTCAACATTCCAAATGTACCCACTAGTTCAAAAACAGATTCTTAAGGAATTGGTTTTTGATCACCACAAAGTGGCAGTATTTCTCTGCTAAGCAAAATTCAAAGTTTTTATCTTGAAATAAAAATTACATTACTTGTAACCATAATAAAGTTTGACATACATCCTCTGACAGTATGGCTTTCTATACAAAGTGTATTTACTAAGAAAGAGGTGTTCTGAGCTTCTAGACATTTGAGTAAGACTGGAGTTATAGTGAAAAATAATGAAAGCATAAAACAAATATAGTCAGACATCTGGTGACCGTTTCCCTCTTTCTTGTGTTTTGTGGCAGAATCAAACTTCTTGGATCCTTTCCAGCATGGCAGCTCTTTACTGGCGAGTAAAAGGTCAAGGGAAGAAAGCAATTGATTGCCTGCGGCAAGCCTTACATCACACACCATATTACATGAAGGTGGGTGTAATAATACTGGAGACAATATGTCTGTCATTATAGACACAGACGTTTTCATTTTATGTTTAGCAATATATATGCTTTTACTGGTTTTAAGAATTTTAGAATGATGCTCATATAAATTAATTATGGAATAGAAAATATATGGACTGTCATCGACACTTTGATAAAATATATACTGTAAATGAAAATGGGAATACAGAAATACTTCATTCACAAAAGCAGGGTAGTTTATTGGTTGTTCTATTTCTGCACCAAATAAAAAGTTGCCACAGGAATTCAAAGTACAAATTAGAGCTGAATGCATTGCAGTAGGGAGGGGGCAGTGAATGCCACTGAATGCCAGTCTCATTCTGTGTCTTAGGTTTACAATAGACAAAAGAACACATTTTGAATGAACTATAATCCTACTTCCCTAACAAGATGGAACAAGGTTAAGATCCATCTATCATGTTAAAATGAACTGATTTTTCAAGTGTCATTTTTAAAAAATATATCCTCGTATCTTCATGAATTGAATTGATTGATATTAATTGCAGAAATTTTTCCATAGACACTTTGTTGGTTAAATGAAACAGGAGAAGTTTTGCATTGAACAGCTGACTTTTTTCCCTTATTGATTAAAATCTGTGTATCAGGAACATAAATATACCGTGCTGGTTCTTTAAATACCTGTTTTTAAAAAATCTCTCACTGAATTTGTTCTACTTTTCTTCTTTTCAGGATGTGCCTCTCATAAGTTTGGCAAACATCTTCCACAATGCAAAGCTTTGGAATGATGCTATCATTGTGGCTACGATGGCAGTAGAAATTGCTCCACACTTTGTCGTCAATCATTTCACTTTGGCTAATGTTTATGTAGCAATGGTGAGTAAATAATTTCTAAATTCTGAATCATGTCTTTTTATAGCATCTTGAGTCTCAGTGATAGAGAAGTTTAAAAACAGGAGACCACAGTCCATATCTACAGCACATAATAGCAGTTTGTAAAAGAAAATATTTTTTTCTTTTTTAATGTTTCCATCCTGAAAGTTTTCAGTAAAGTGAACTGCACCCCATCTGTCAATTTAACATTTGAATATCAGAACTTTTTGAACTTTGCTTTGGGTTTCTCATCCATACCTTAATTTGGGGAGAGGATGAGTTGTTCTCAGCATCCATGAGGTCTTTTTTCTTGGATTTGAATTCTAAATCTTCACCTGTCCCCTAGGCTGTTCTTTTTGAGACCAAAACCTAATTGTTTAAATCTTTCATAAATTACACAAACTCTCAATTTTCAGGGAATCCCCATATGATATGCAGTCTGTTAGAATAAAGAATCATATTACTGGCATTTAATCATGCTTCTCTTAACGTGTTTTACATGGTTGAAACACAATCTTGGCAACACTGACTCTTCTGTAATTCCTGGAGCCATTTAACAGATTAACAGAGTTGGAAGGGACCTTGTAGGTCATCTAGTCCAACCCCCACGTAACAGTAAATCCTATAACATTTCTGACAAATGGCAGTCTAATCTCTTCTGATAAGCCTCATGAGAGGTGTAGTCTTCTGCCTTCATCAATCAGCACTGTTCCTAAAGGATATATGCCTCTTCCTTTGCCATAGGAAATATGGGAAAGGAATGCTGGTTTCAACCCAGATTGAACCAGGTTCCTCCCAGTTTCAGCCCATCACATTGTGATACAAATTGGCTCAAATGCATGACCAACGAGTATTAAAAGCTACCCGTGCCACTTCTGTATCCTGAGGCATCTTGAACTTTGTGGGGCTGCTTCAGTGGACACAGCCTTTTCCATTCATAAATCCATAATATTGGTTTTTAGAGGCAGGCACAGAATCATTGGCATCATTCATACAGAATGTAATGAAGAATTAGCTACCTATTTTAATTGTACTTCTTCTAGTGGTCATCTGTGAATTCACATAACCTCACAATCTTACTTGTGTAATTGCTTTTCACTCTCTTGGTTTTGCCATTGGTATTTTTAAATGGAGAGGAAGAAGGACCTACATCTGGCTATATAAATGTGTGACAATAGGACTCCCACCAAAACTACTTTAACTGTGGAATATTCCAGTAGCACTAATATGCAAGTTCAGAATCCTTGTGCACACGTTCACAGATGCCTACTAAAACTAGGTATGGGTCAGTAGATATTTCTTCCCAGTTTGGGCATAATAATAAATAGGGTTTAATTTAACTGAGATAGTGGAAGTTTAATTGAGGAAGTGGAAGTGTATACAGTTTAGATTTTGACCAAGAAAAGGGAGAAGAAATATTTAAGCTCAAGAGTTAAACAAGTTTGTTCACTAACACTAAGTTAACCTAATGGCTAATTAGCCATATTGGGCTGCTAGAGGAAATATAAAATATGTTTCTAATAAAGTAATGAGTATTAATACTTGCAGAGTTGTAGCCTAAAAGTTTCAGTAACAATATTGCACTTTGTAGTTGAACCTTTATATTTATATTCTGCACTGAAGTATTATAGATTATTCTATTGCAAAAAAATCCACATAATCTTCTACCAAGACAGGGAAAAAGCACTCTATTAAAAAAAAGAAAATCTTGTTTGTTATGTTCATTTGCCTGGGCTTAATATTGCAGTACTTGAAGATACTTTAAGATTCAGCAATCTGACCCTAATAACTTAATGAAGTCTGGTATATACCATTGTAAGATGTGAGTTACTTTGAATGCTGATCATTTTGGATCTTGGATTCCTACAGGAGGAGTTTGAGAAGGCAATGCGGTGGTATGAATCTACACTGAAGCTTCAGCCTGAATTTGCACCAGCAAAGAATCGAATTCGTGCCATTCAATGTCATTTACTCATGAAAAACGAAAGACATTCTCCTTAAATATTACAATCTTCTTCCTTTTTTCCCTCAAGAAAGCAAAATCATTGTTCATTGATAGACTTGAAATGAAGTGAGCTAATAGAAATTGGAAAATACTATTTCTAGTAAGAATTGGAGGTTGGTTGTATTATTCAGAAGCAAGAATATCTTTGGAGAAGCTATAGTAAACGTTATACCAGACAATTGTATAAATAAATATTGATCCCAGAGAACTTCCATGTGCCTATGTCCTGGACATCATTAGATTTTCCACAATATTTGATGGATGCCAGCATAAAATTTAATCTGCTTCTTGTCTTAGCACATCTATGAAAATGCAAAGCACTTCATCGCACCAGACACTATATGTAAGAGGAAAGCATAATTAGCTTTTCATCCATCAGGAGCTCATATTCTACTTCTTCATTCACTCCATACTTTAGTATTACCAAGTCAGAGAAAGATACTGAGATAATGCAGGAGATTGCAAATCATTTTAGTACATTTTAAGAAAAAGCAGCCTTCTATCTATTGTTGCTTTTATTGGGGGGAGGGGGGGGAATAGTGAAAACAACATTGTGTGAAATCATTTATATTATGGTTTACAAGAAAAAAGAAAAACAAGAAAGGTAATTTCAAAGGTTTCTTTTAATCCATTATATATTAGAAGCCCTTTGCAGCCTTTAGCCTGTTCTTTACTAATTCTTTTACCCAACTGAATGTAAACTGCAAATGTTAAAGGCATATGCACACATGTTCTCTGTATGTCTAAATGCTTAAGCGAGAGAGAGCATGTTAGCAAGTAGGACAAGTGGTCTGTTTCTTAATCAGCATCCAGTTTGGTCAACAAAAGGACCAAATTGCAGATTTCATTGTTGAATCAACAAGGGCACAAAACTTGAAGCAAAAATAAATAATTATTAATAAACAGAATTTTGATTCTTTTTTTTTTATGGTGAAATGTGTGCTACATGATACACTAGTATCTTAGCCCAGAATTCTACATTCCATGATCTTTATTAATATACACATTTCATGGTATGAGATTATTTTTTCTTACACATGTAGAATCATCCCTTGATTTTAACTCCATTGTTCATTTCATGATAAAAGATCTAAAATGTCATTCAAAAGAAAGAATCAGTTACAGAGTTATTTCAAAGAAAAAAGTAGTTAGTAGAGTTTCATCTTTGCTATTGTAGTTGATTTGGCCTACAAAAGAGCCATGGGACTTGTTACTAAACACATTAAGATGATTTGTTTAGTTCTAGCTGTACACAAGGCATGACTCTGGCCAATTGTGATTTGTATATTAAATCATGGTGAAGTCACAGTTCAGCACAATATTAAACTAGGCAGCTACTGTTAACCCACCATTAACAGTTTCCACATTGCTTTTCCATTTCTAGACTAGTAATATGCAACTTGACTAAAATCAGTTAATTCAAATTCATAGGAAAATTTTCTGCATTATCTAAAACTCAGTTGTAAGGAAAAGCTGTGTATTTCTCTTATAGCTAGATTCTATTGCATTGGTAAACTTTGAAAGCTCAATTTGGTACTCTCTTAATTTGAGTTGAATTAAATTGAATTAATTTGAATCCAATGTTTGCTTTTTACTCAGTCCCAGATTTTTCAATGATTGATTCAAATACAGTTTGATAAGAACCTGTTAAAATTTTTAATTGTGATAGCTCAATACCTCACATACTGTCTCTTCCTTACTAAGGAAGTATCAAGTTTAAAATACTGACATTCTTCAACTGCCAATTTATATGCTTCAGAGCTCTCTTAAAATGTGAGAAATCTGAAAATATGGTATTGCCTAATCCAGCATATAAATGTACATGTTTCATCTTTGGTGTCTAGAGCAGGAAAATTAACTCTCCGGTTTTAAATAAAATATGAAAAGAAATGTAAAAATGCAGAAAGTACTGGACAATGCAAGATTAGCAAAAGAAGAAGCAGGATGAGTTAGATTTATTCCCACGCACAAGTGGAATATATACACGTACTGCATTTTGCAGAGGAGAAATCAATATGATTACAGTTTATGTGTGTTTGTATACATATACATAGAGTCCATTGATACAAATGCTAATCTGCAGCCATTCCTTGAAATCTTTCTAACCAACATGCTGCCTTTAAAACAATGAAAAATTGAGGTATCTATATGCAAAATAGCAACCTAAAACATAAAAATATAAATTTCATGTGACATGGAGCTAACCTCTTCAGGAATCTAGATATTGCATGTTTTGTATAAACTTAAATCTCCAGACATTTTTCAAGGCCAGTTGTGTGTAAAAGACACTGAACACAAGCAAAAAACAAACGATTTCACTGAAATTTGGAAGGAAACTTGGATATAATGATGGGCAACAAATAATTATTTGTGAAAGTAACTGCTCTATTTGTCTCCATCAGTGCCACACCTTGCCAGCATTGGTCGATTCTTGCTCTGAACAAGATCCATACCCAACATGGTGTCTGCCATGACTCATTGTTTAAATGGGGTCTTGTCTCTACCCTTCAGTGTGACTGGTGCTCCTTGACAAAATATCCATCACATTGTGTCTGAATGTCCATCAAGAGCTTACACCAGCTCAATGTCTGATTTTTTTTCTTCATAGACCACCCTGTCCTTGAATGGCTGGATGGACTGGACATTAACATCTGAACCACTATAAGTCCATGTATTTGCCATACACTAAATAAACAAAAGTGCCATACTTTAATATATAATATGAAATGTATTAAAAAAAAACATTGTACGAGTCCAGTATCATTTTTCCAGAAAAAAAAAATCATTCTTATATTCACTTTCATTAGTAATGAGAGACTCCTAAAAAAGATCAACCTAACAATGCAGTAATACAGAAACATATCTTCATAAATCAGTTTCTAGTTAACAAGGTGACACACAAAAAAGATTTTCAGAAACCCTGAATGCATTCTCACTCTCCCAATTACTCTTCTCTGTTGAACAACAGTGTGATGAAAATAGCTGCCAACATATCTGGAATCCTCCAGGTGGCAGCTTGAATCCATATTTAGCATCATTTTTTTTTCTTTAAGACCCTAAAAATAGATACTCCTGCATAAAACAGGATGGGCAGTTCCCTTACCTCCAATAACTAAATATAGGAGAATGCTTCTACTGCTTACTTGAATTAAAACGAGAAAAAGGTATCTCTATTTCATTTCCATACATATATGTATGCCATTTTGTGATTATTTCTTTGTTTTGATTTTTAAGCAGGGGTGAGTGGAGTTCCTCGGGGGCTGAAGTAGATGAAGAAAGCTTTTTTCTTCCTGCGAAATCTCTCTTTTTCTCTCTTTGTCTTTTTGACATTCTATGCAGCAGGCGTGGGAAATGGGACAGGTATCTCATATTAAAAATCTAAACCCTCAGAGGATTTTGAAAGTAGGCCATGGACTGCCTGCAGAATCGCAGGTTGTCCATTCCATATTTCTGCTTCATTAATGCATTCTGAATTTACAAACACAAGTGCAAACCCAGACTATCCTACACAAGTTTTTGGCAATATTTAATTTGTGATGTGCATGGAATCTTCCTTAGGCACACAAGATGTACCTGGTGAGGCCTCAAGTATCTCATGATGCACTAGAAGCTGGCCAGTGATCATTAATTTGACTGGTCATTCTTTTTCTTCTTCTAGATGTGAATTTCCTTGCTATATTATTCAGCTGTAGGCAAGTTTAATGCTTAACTATACATAAAGGATATGCCAGTGTGCCCACCTTTTCTGGTACCCTATTTCATGAATCCTTTCCTTGATAAATTTAAATAGAGTTTTCAGAAATATGTTTCAGAGTTTTAGTGCAATTAGCTGATCCACAAATTAAATTAGCTTTAAGAATAAAATGTGTCAGCCTTTTTTAAAGGATTGATCTAGTCCTATCTGAAAAGAAGACACTAATAAATAGGAGAAAGAAGTCCAGTAAATATTACGCTCATTATTTCTTATGCACCTAGGACAGGGCTATCAAACTCCCGGCCCATGGGCTGGCTGTGTCATGCGCTGGCCACATCCACCCTCAGTTTGGTGAAGGGGGCAAAAGTCCTGATGCATCACATGGTGCTGCCATGAGAACATGAGTTTGACACCCTTCACCTAGGATAAAGCAGAGAAGTTGGAGATACCAAACATTGGAGATTTTTTTAAAAATCAGCCACAGAAGAAACTCCAATATTAATAAATGGCTTGTTGTAGAAAGAACTGTAAATCTGCCAAATCATACCATTTTGCAGTGGAAACATTAACTGAAAAGAATTGCTCTGTGAATATCTTTGTCCTAGCATTGTCCAACATTGAACAGATTTCATCCATCTATGTTCATGGCAAATGGCAAGGAACTAAGGGAACTGGAGTCCAACGTACCAGGTTATCTATTCCTAAACACTGTCATGCAGATATTTTTATATCATCAGATGCATATTGAAAGTTTAGATCTGTTCCTTAACGACATCCAAGCCTTTTACAACATCACCACTCTGCAAGTCTACAATTCCTCAATTAAATCAAGTAAAATTGATGTTTGGGATCCACAGGAAACTAGGAATCCTTACATGATCTGTTCATTAAAAGCATTTTTATTTTTCTCCTTTGAATTAAAAACTGTAATTCTCTCCTTCCCCACCTTACCCCCCCCCCCGTGGTTTCAAGCTTTGATAAAAACTTGATTAACATAGAACCTGGAAGATAAAGATGATTGTCTCCCTAGTGTATTTTCTTGGGTATGGGGTGGGGGTAATATAAAAAGAGGGAGAACTGCCAACCGCAAAGAAATCTTAATGACAACAAAAAAAGGAACAAAAATTTTCAATCCAAGCTAAGTGCTGCACAGGCAGAAACCTTGCTCTGACGTACATGAAAACCCTGCCAGGATTAACTCCTTCATGCTCATGAAAGCCAGGCTCCTCACCGTATTTGTTTTGCCATAAGTTTCATACTCTTTCCATTAGAGGTCATGCAGTTTTATTTAATTCTGCTGTCACATTACATGTAGATATTGGAGGCAAACATTAACATTAAACAGCATTAATGGATGGGTTAGAAAACCTTTTGTCCACCCATTGATTCTTTTTGCAGGTGATACATAGAAGCCCATTAATTACAAAACAGGACAGAGATTTCCTTTCTGAAATTGATATCCTCAGTAGCAATTATTTTTCTTATCTCCTTTTTCTGGCAGACAGAACAAGTGCAGGCATTTTTCATTCAAAATTTCAAAGCAACTGATAAAAATGCTGTTAAGGGAGACTTACATTCACAAAGTTTTTTTATTCTCCAAATAACACATAGCAGGATGAAAAACTATTTGCAGATGGGACAGCTTCAAGCCATGAACTGAATACAGAGACCAGATCTCTATCTACTAGTTTCTCCCTCTGACAAAATTGCAGTACAGATTTCCAGAATTGTCTTTGTGACAGCATGGAAAAGAAAAGGACAGGAATAGAAGAACATAAACG